TTCTCCTGCTCTAATACAAAATTTTAATACCAAGTATATTCTTGATATCTTTTGTATGTAGAATTTATTTCAATTTTTTTTACATTCAGTATTAATCCAATGAATTTCGGAAATAGCAATTTTTCCTATCAAATAAATTTCCACGCAATTTAGATAGGTTAGATAAATTGTAGTTTTCTCGCTTTGTACTATGCAGTGTTGAGAAAATGCCCATGACTCACAAATTATGTCAACGAATTACATATGCCTACTAGAGAGCACATGTACCAGAAATGCACCCCGGGACTACTCAGATTTTTCGATTCTTGTAGTGTATCTCACATTGTTCATAGCATTAAACAGTTTTTACATTATAAACTTTAAGGTAAGTCACTCGTCAAATTTGTTAAATCAAGGATTTTTGGGAAGTATATTTTGGATAAGTACTCATACAGTATGACTCAAATTCGCAGAGAAAATAGGGGGGTCAGTGTGCATCTTACTGATCTATGGTACAATTAAGTTGACCTTTTTGCACATAAATTTTAACTCTTTGATTTATTACTTTATCTCTAATTTTATTATATCAGATGTTACTACGTTAATAAATTTAATCTTATTTTACAAAAAATGGTTTGAATAAATATTCATTATTGAACAAATCTTGCAAATTAATGCGCGTTTATTATTGTGTGACCTTTTTGCACTAAAAAAGAATATATTTGGGGTATTAAAAAACTAAATAGGCAATAAAATATTTTTTTATATCAAGCTTTTTAGAAGTTAAGTGCTGATCAGTCACAAGTATCGACCTGGTGACCTAAACTTCCATATTGATCGTCCCAGTGACTCTGATTCAAAGACGTTCATGAAAATATTAAATGATCATGGACTTTGCCAAAGAGTGCAAGGTGCGACTCATGTCCATGGCCATACCTTGGACGTCATGATTACTAGGGAGGACAGTTCCATTCTGCTATCTGATCCGACGATCAGTGACCCAATTTTGTGTGATAACAGAGGAAATCCTGCAGGAGACCATTATGCTGTTCATGCTCTGATACAAATCTCTAAACCAAAGCCTGAACGAAAAACTGTCTTTCAGGAAGTTAAGTGAGATTAACATTGATGAATTTAAGAAAGACATTTCTTCATCAGTCAGTGAGCAAAACATGGACATGCAGATTGATGAACTAGTGACGACATATAACACCAGTCTTAAATGTATCCTGGACAGCCATGCACCTGTTCAAACAAAAGAAATAATCATAAGACCAAAAACACCATGGTATAACGCCAACTTAAAAGCAGGCTCGTAGAAAAGCAGAGCGGAAAATGCGTGACACTGACTTAACGATACACAAGCAAATTTACAGAAAATTGTGTACCGATTATTCAAAACTGCTACTGCAATCGCAGCAGGATTACTACTCCACAAAGATATTAGAAATTGGACATGACCAAAAACAACTATATAACCTAACTAACAATCTCATGGGGAAGGTTAAGGAGACTGTCTTTCCAGCACATGACAGCAAAGAGATGTTAGCAAATAGGTTCTGTGAGTTTTTTACTGGAAAAAATTGAAACGATCAGATCTGAACTTAGTAAATCTAAGCAAGTTAATGTTAGCGAGGCACTAAAGAGTGATATTCAACATGTGGGTCAGAAACTTGCTGTTTTCACTGAAGCTACAAACAAGGAGATCTATGATATCATCATGGGAGCACCAACGAAGTCTTGTGAGAGTGACCCAATCCCAACATCTTTACTTAAACCATGCATTGAAGAGTTGCTTCCCTTAATAACAGTGATAATAAACAAATCATTATCTGGATCTTCAGTACCGACAACCTTCAAAGAGGCTATAATTCGCCCTATTCTGAAGAAACCGGAATTTGACTGTAATGAACTGAAAAATTATAGACCAGTTTCCAACTTACCATTTATTTCAAAAATACTCGAAAAGGTAGTATCAAAAAGACTAAAGCATCATCTGGAAGTGAACAATCTACAGGAACCACTGCAGTCGGCATATCGAGCATGCCACTCTACAGAGACTGCACTCCTCCGAGTCCATCATGACATTGTATCAGCACTTGATAAAAATTCCTGTATGGCCCTAGTGATGCTAGACTTGTCTGCTGCGTTTGATGTGATCGACCATACCATCTTACTCAGACGTCTCAGGTTCTCCTTTGGAATTTCTGGGGCAGCTCTGGAATGGATCGAATCCTACTTGACACAGCGCACACAAAGAGTAGTCATTGGTGGGAGTGCCTCCGAAGATCTTGTTTTGCGGTTCGGAGTACCACAAGGCTCAGTGCTTGGACCAGTCTTGTATTGCCTTTTCTCGAAACCTATCGGTAAAATTTGTCGTGATCATGGCATGCTGTTCCACTGTTATGCAGATGACACACAAATATACCTTGTTATAAAACCGAACGAAACATGGTCAGATTTAAAAAGTCGACTACAAACTTGTTTAGCTAACGTGAGAAGCTGGATGTGCGCATATCTACTAAAATTGAACCAGGATAAAACTGAGTTTAAGGTTTTTTCACCAAAGAGTCAGCTTAAAAGATCTTTTACACACCAACTTGATTTTGATGGTTCTGTCATCTGTGAATCAGATTGTGTGAAGAATCTGGGAGTGTTTTTCAACAAATCACTTACCATGGAGACTCATATTAGCCAGTGTCCAAATCCTGTTTTTACCACCTACGAAATATTAGTCGAATTCGTCCATTCATAACAGAAGATGCTTGTAAGACTCTAGTTACATCAAGACTTGATTATGGAAATGCACTACTCTATGGAATTACAGAGACAAATATATCACGGCTACAGACAGTACAAAATACGGCAGCAAGGATTGTCACCCGAACTAGGAAGCATGATCATATCTCCGAAGTTCTGATATCTCTTCACTGGCTTCCAGTTAAATTTAGAACATATTATAAGATCCTTTTATACACTTTCAAAGTACTCCAGGGGACATCACCATCACTATCAACCGTCAAGAACTCTACGTTCGTATGACTCCAAACAACTTGTGAAACCTCGTGTTCGCACGGAGACATACGGAACGCGTCGTTTTGACCATGCAGCGGCAACTTTGTGGAATGGTTTACCGGATGCTCTCCGGTTCCAGACGTCACTTTTAGCTTTTAAACGAGATCTTAAGACTCATCTTTTTAAGATAGCATACGACGTGTAATTTTTTATTTTGAACAAGTTATCGAGTTTTATTGTCCTCAGACTATTTATTTTGGGCACAACCTGTATTGTGCGAAATTTTTAATGTGATCTCAATTTGATCTTAGTCTAGCAGCTTATAATTTTAGCTTACTCTTATGTTAGTTACGATCATTAGAATGATTTTAGGTTTTATGTTTTTATGATTATTGTTTTTATGATTATTGTGTTGTATTTAACTACTTGTATATCTGAAATAGTGTCTGTTCAGCGCCTTAGAGTAAATTATTTTAAATAGGGCGCTATACAAATTTTATTATTATTATTATCATTATTATTATCGAGTAGTTTAAAATAATGAAAGAAAAAGTTTGGGACAGTGATGTTAATTTTGAAATAATGGTCAAAATATGTGATTTTCAGGCAAAAAATGGTGTAAATTTTATCTTGACTTCTTTAATATATCTTCATTTTTTTCGCAAAGTTTGTTGAGTGAAGGTGTAAACTTGTTCTAAAAATATAAATTAAGACCTATATTAAATATTCTTGCAATATCATAACGGAAAATATTCTCCGAGTAAAAGAATGTGAGGCTAAAGTTTCAATACATTAAATTTAATAAAAGTGCAATTTTGCAGAAATTTCTGCTGAATATTCTTCCACCACAAGAAATAGTCCCTCATAAATCTTGCTTCTTTGTAGATTTTTAAGCAGTTTTTTTTCGGTGAATGATAAAAAATTTACATTGTTGAATATAGATATTTTATAAAAATTGAATTATAATAAATATTTTTAAGTAAGAGGTTGTGCGTGAACTTTTCTAAAAAGCTGACGAGTGACTTACCTTAAGTATGAACAAAAGACATTCAAAAATATCTAGCTGTTAGAATTATAAGTTTGAATCTGACGTCCTTTTAACCATTTCAAAACATAGTTTTATGCTTAGACGCTGTTCTATAAAATATCCTTCTTTTGTTTTTTTTTAAACACACTTACTAGATTCTTAAATGTCCAATAAGCGACATTAAAAAATCTGAAAATGACGGAATCAAGATTTTTTTCCACACACTTAGTTTTATATACCCCAGCTTGAAACGCGGGAGGGTATATTGTGATCAGGATGTCTGTTCGTCTGGTGGTACGTCCATCTCTTAGATTTTAGGGTACCCATCTCCTATCTGCAACTCCTCTTATACCACTGAACGAAATTTAATAAGACGTTCACAGTATCTTTGTTTCATAGTGAAATTTTGACCTTTTATTTCACGTTTTAAGCAGACTCATTTTAGCGTCTCAAAGAGCAAAATATAATCTTTGCTATTATAATTATATGGGAGGCGGGAGTATCATTCAGTGAGCACATTGTTCACAGTACCTCTAGTTCTCATGGAACTTAAGTAAGAGGGTATTGGACTTGAAAGTGCGTCAGGGCTACACTCAGACGTCATTCATGCACACTAAATGTTACTTGCTGATTATAAAGAAAATACGACCCATACACATACGAAACAAGGGACGCCAGTCGTTGACAAGAAGGAATATATAATTTTTCAGTTGTAACTCACCATTTATTTTGGAGGAACGGTCAGATCTGTACCATTCAATAAACTTCCGGTAGACTTAAGTCTAATTTCGGGTTACCGAATGGCAGAAGATTCATATAATGAAAAATATGTCAATAAAACAAAGAAAATAATTTAATTCTCCCTTTTTGTACCCTCTAATTATAAATTTTAGAAAAAATAAGTTTTAGGTAGAAAATAATAAATAAAGGAAAAACATGACTTCAAACCACGTTCATTTCATGAAAGTTTAGGTTTACACGTTTGAAAACTCATCACTCAAAATATTTTGAGGAATATTCAACTAAGCAGCCTTTTCACATACGTAGAATCTTTCATGTTTACAAGGATAGTCAGCCCATTTCCCATCTTTGGCAAGAAATACACATGGTCCATCACCACTCGGATCATCATCGTGCCAGTTGTGGTAAGAAAATTCGCTGTTGTCTGCCTGCCACCGACATTTTTCCTTATCTTTACTTCTTCGTGGACAATTTCCACCAATCCACAACACGGATACAGTCCATTCGGTTATAGTTTTACCTTCTTTTATGGAAATAAAAAAGGTGAAAATGATAGAATTCCAGCCACAAGTTGTGGACTAAGACCAATGATCATGAATAATATTTAAATTATTTTTTCGGCTTTACAGCAAATCTATTTAGAAAATTAGTTTTACTTTTGATTGTTGTTTTAAAGTTTCGTTAAAATTGCTAAAAAGTCATCAATAATTAAAATTTGTCATCAAAAATATATGCTTATACATATACATGTATGTTTTTTTTTAACTTTTGGCCGAAATTTTCATTTAATTATCTATCCAATACAGACACTTTTTAAACTATAGTAATATCAAAACACCGACGTGATCTCGTCAAAATCGCTGACGTCATTTAAACCTTAATTTTGTTTACAATGATTCTGTAGCTAATGTTCCATAATTTTTCTCAAAAAGGAATATAATATAGAAAAGTAAGTAATACAAAGTTCAAATAAATATTAATCATGAATAATGCTACACATAACTATGGATTATACTACGCAAGGTTTCTTATTGATATTCATGCGCATTGTTCGCACCAAAGCCGCTAATAAATGAAGCCCCCCTTTTTAAATACCTATACAATATGTTTAAAGATTAATAAGTGATTCGAGCTTTCGTAGCTTTTTTTTAAAAGAATGACATTGTTATAAACATATGGCATGCCTTTAGTTTTATACGAATCCCTTATTTTATGTTAACCTATGTTAATGTTTTTATATGTAGCACACTTTTAATTATTTTCATTTATTCATCAAATGCCACAATAACCATATAAATTATCCAATATTTTAATATTATTATTTCAATGGAAATGCCGATAACTGTCAAAGGAAGATTTTTCTTTTATAAATCATGAAAAGTAATTAAAGCCCGGGCTGCTCTATACATATTCATAAAATGTTTAAGTGTTTGTGTATGCGATTAAGGTGGTTAAAGTTATTCAGAAGTAAAGATTATACATCAATTTGGTCTCATTTACTATCGAAAAACTTACAGGTCTTTTTTTTCAAAATATTAAATTTAAAGCATAAAACGTACCTTACACAGTTTGTGTTTAATATTCGTTGAGTCAGATATAATTTTGATGATATGTGATATATGTGCCTAATTCCGAGGCAACTGAGGGAAATTCCTCACTAAAATAGTCAATAGAGCGCTTGTTTCATGATTGGAGGGTCGTGAATTCAAATCTCGGCCAAACTGAGCCCAGTAGATAGAAAAAATGGATAGCAACTGCTCCTTCGCTATGCAATTGTCACTATGAAGTAGGGATGTCACTTTTACTCGGACAGCTTAGTCGAATAGTCGGAGGCTTTAGTCGAACGATAGTCGAGTACTCGTTGATTAATTTAATCTCTCAAATGTCTTTTAAGAACTGCTTCTATAATATTTAATGAACGCTATCACCATCAATTCTGAATTGTAAACATGTACTTATATTGGTAATATATAAATGTATCCAATGTATTTCATTTCAAATACTTAGTTTTACTGCAAATTTTATTTAGTATACTAAATACATGACAACAAAAGCTCGCGTTTGTCTTTTCTATTACTAACGCTAGAACATGCACCCGTAATTGATCCACTACATGAAGCCACTTGAACGTATCTAGTCAGTAACCCGCGACTTCTGAACGGTCAAAGCGTACCTCTTATAAAAACACAGAGAGCTTGCTAACAATTTTAATTATGAGATTATTTTGCAAACAATCAAAAGCTGATCAATACAATTTTGAAATGACTGACAGAAAAAAAATATAATTTACACTCATTACTGCCCCCTCCCAGCTTACATGTTTTTACAAAACAATATATAACAGCTGTTTAAAAATTTCTAATTAATAAATAGTTGCATTATGCATGATTTTATGGTATTGTGGGTTGGAATTATATAATTCTGAGCTAGCAAACCAAATAGATCTTGAAAGCCCTTTTTATTTCTAGCACTAAAAAATAGACAATCCTTCTAAATCATGTTTGTTATAGCAACGGTACATTTTTTTGCTCTGCACTTTGTAATTTTTCCGGAAAACATACCAGAAAGGATTCAATTGAGGAATGGTTGTTGGCCTATAATTTGATACAATATATTCGACGCAGAATGCAGGTTTAGTTTCACATATTATATTAACATACTTTTAATTGTTTTTCCATCCTGGTATCTTTTTAAAAACACCCTAACTTAGATTTTTAAGAAAAATGGACAAGCAAAAAGTTTACTTTGAACAATTAACTTAGAACGGTTATTAAGCAAAACCTAGTTTTATCATATACTGAGAAATGAATTAAGCAGAGCCAATTTTGTTACCTTGAAAATGAGATAACTAAAAAAGTAGCAAATTTTTAACGAATAGCCGACTAAAAAAATCTTAGTCGATAGTCGGTATGATCGAACGATAGTCGAGTACTCGACTATCGGTTGACATCCCTACTATGAAGTGAAAGTTGCGGGTCCTTTGGACGAGACCTTTAAAAACTAAGGCCCTGTTTCACGGCAAGCGTTGAGACGACAAAGATCCGTCACTGCTCAATGGCCCTGATTGCCGAAAGTTGAAGCTATTCACCGATATATGGTGACGTCTCCATATGCGCGAAAAAGTTTCGAATCGGACGTAAAACAAAAAAAAATCAATCAACTGATGGCAACATCATTGTTTTTCTTGTAATTTTTCAAAGGATGTTTAGATTTTATACATGTATTTTGCTTTGAGTAATTTTCCCATACCTTAAATTATTTTATTTCATATTATTGTTCATTGTCGGATCATTTTGATTTTAAAAAAGATTTATTTCACTTACGAAACAAATGTTCCAGTAGGTTTTTCTTTATCCAGTCATTCTCCTCTGCTGATTCTATCTCTGCTAAAGTTGAACCCCGCCTTTTACAGTCCTCCTAAAACAAAGCGGTGCTCAAATGCATTATATAACACTGGTATAAAGGTTTAAATGAACATCAGTGAAAAAAAAATCATTTTATATACAATTAACTATTAAATTATGCTAATTAGGTATCCAACTAGCATACCATAGCAGTTGCCCAATTTTCCTTTGATTTGCCAACGAAATAAATACTGTCATCAAAGCGTGTCCACCCCTGAGGTAATTCTAATAAAAGATTTTTTAACAAATGAAGATGAAATAGACAATTTTAAAAGCTATTGACAGGGCGTAATCTATCTTTTACGATAAGATGATTTAGCTAAACCATAATTATTTACTGAAACATTGAATACCTTGATCTTACTTTTCTTTACTGCTGTTAGTTCAATGATTTTCTCATTATATTTAATGCGGATCATCCAGTGACTTGATTTTTTTTTATTTACTGCGGAACCTCAATGACATGATTTCAGTGATTTACTGCGGATCATTCAATGTAGTGATATTTGTATTGTACTTGAATCAAACAATGACTTGATATTCATTTTTTTACTGCCAACCATTTAATGACTTAATCTATGTTAATAACTATGGATCATCCAGTGACTTGAAATTTATTTTTTATTGCGGACCATTTCATGACTTGATATCCATTAATATGGCAAAGTATTTTATGATTTGATATTATTATTAACCGTAGATCATTCAATGAATTGATAGTCATTATTTATTGAGGACCATTTCATGACTTGCTTAATGTTATTTACTGTAAATAATTCATTGTTATGATATTCATAATTAACTGTGGATTTTGTTCAACTGTTCAAGCATTCGATACTTTACTTTGAATTTCTCGTGATCGAAATTCCGAGATCGGAGAAATCAAGGAAATCAATTACACATGTAAATCTACGTCGAATGTATTTGGAAATTTTATCAATGTCCTCCATAATGTCACTGTTTACATGTACAGTGTACTTGTATCGATCACCGCATAAGAAACAATGATCGATCCACAATCCCAATACTGTATCGGAATATACAAGAGGCGGGGCTTAGTGACCGCGAGATTAAAGCGGGGTCCACTTCACGCATCAGTGCGTAAAGCGGTCCCAGAAAGCGAACGCAGGGTTCCCTCCAGCGGACCCAGAGCGAACCCGGAGCGAACCCGGAGCGCACGCAAAGCGCACCCAGAGCAGTCCAAAAACTTCTGAAAGCGAACCCGATGCGGACCCCGATCGAACCCGGGGTCCGCTTCGGGTTCGATCTGATGTTAGGTTGTGTCCGGTCGGTACTGTATGTAATATTTTTCAAAGTGAATCATTAGTAATGTTTTCATTTAACATGTCCATGTATGCATTATGGATGCAGGTTGAATTGTGTATAATTTTCTTAAAACAGTTATGTGATAGGTTTATGTAAAGAATCATTTAAACAATTGCAAATTTTTCTATGTTGGCTGTTAGTTGATTTACAGTAATAACTACGTTGGCCCAACAATATGTCATCTGCATTGCAACAGAGGGCCAACATTGGGCCAACCTAACCAAGCAGTTGTTAAGGTTGGCTGTCAGTTGGCATACACTAATAACTACGTTGGCCCAACAATATGCTATCTGGTATTTCAATAAAAGGCCAACGTTTGGCCAACCTAACCAACCAGTTGTTAAGGTTGGCATACACTCATAACTACGTTGGCCCAACAATATGCCATCTGACAATTCAACAAAGAGCCAACGTTGGGCCAACCTAACCAACTAGTTATTAAGGTTGGCTGTTAGTTGGCAAACAGATATACCTACGTTGGTCCAGCAATATGCCATCATGTTGGACCAACGTTGGGCCGATGAGCAAAATTACGTGGGCCAAGGTAAGATTACCAACAGTGGGCCAACGGTGGAAAAAAAAAATTGGGCAAACGTTGGTCTAACTATGTTTTGCTATCTGGGAAATGTCGTCTGGTCGACATCTCGGAGGCACTTTCATGAAAGATAGTGCCTTTTTTGGAAAGAAGTGTTTATTTTCAAGCAAAATTAAAATTGTTTATTCATAATTAAATTCGTATTAGCCTCAATTATACCTCATTAAGCAGATCATAACGCTAGGTAGGGTTCTTTAAATGATGCGATATTGAACACTTGCAGGTCATACATTAATTTAAATGCCGATACTTTAACTTCTTATCAATTTAAGTTATTTAGTTGAAATTATTTATATAAATCGATGGGAGATGTTTTAGCTATACTAGAAAGGATTTATTGACCTTATTTTGGTGAATATTGGCACTCGTTGGCTGTACAAATGCACATCCAACTCGTGCCAATATTCACCAAAATAAGTTTATTAATCTTATGATATCAACTTTTTGATGAACATACAGCCAACTCGTGCCAATATTCACCAATAGAAGTTCATTAACCCTATGATGTCAACTTTTTGATGAACATATGGTTACACATGCCGATTGAGGTTTAGTATTCTGGGATATTTCAGATCATTAAATTATGGATTGCCCACTTTATCTTCGAAAATTTAATATGTTGTTTTTAAAAACATTTATGAATGAATGGATGTTAAACAAATATACCTTTCTTGTCTTTAAACCACATTTTAAGAGAACAAAATGCCATTTTTGAATCATATATTAAATAAATCATACCACAAACTAGATTAATATCCCATTGACCACTTGTCGGACAGTTGAGAAGCCCTGATCCTTTTTGTTTGTAGCTACTTTTACACTTTATTTGCATCTGTCTGTAGATTCCTATTGCATCCCATCTTTCCACACTATCCATATCAGCGCCATCTACATTAGGGATTCCACAGTCTTTAAACAATAAAAATGAGTCATTATTCAGAACTATATTTATAATTTACTTTGGGTAACACATCTAACGCTGTACAAATGCTTTGTTTTAAGCAAAGCCTTAAGAAGTACATGTAATCTAGAATTTAACCACTTATTGACAATTGATTTGAATTTAGAAAAAAAAAATTGAAAAATACAGAAATTTTCCGGAAGGGTGAATAAAGGGTGTAATAAAGAGTTATGATACATGAGTCACATTTCCTGGCTGTTGTGTGAGCGATACCTCAACATCGGTCCACATCGGTCATATATCAGTCACATTATCCAGCAATGGGTTATACGATATACTAATGCGTCTTTTGATAGAAATGGCGTTGTTGCCGGCCGGACTTACAAAGCCCAGCGATGCATTGTTAATCATAAAACGATGTTTTGGGGTGATCGGCCGAGGTTATTAATATATTGCATTGCTCATACATTGGTGAACATCATTCGTGCATCGGTTGACTATAGGCCAATGTTTGATCAAACATCGACCGATGAAGAGCCGATGACTGTTGACCACCAATCTACTCCCGATGACCTCAGATTCAACGGACACTGGACGATGCTCGGCCATACATTCTTCAAAGATGTGCTAATGATGGGTTTCCTATGAGGAGCGTTGTGAGGCATCGGTGAAGACATCGGTGATATTTAACTACAACTTATTTTCTAACAATGACCCCCACCGATTCGAACAATGGCCTCAGAAACCTTCCGATTACTATAAACGTACGGCTGGCAACTACGCCATTTTTATCATAAGACACATTGGTTTCTAATCGTGTACCCCATTGCTGGATAATGTAGCTGATACTTAATAAAAACAAGTACCCGTGTTCATATCAGAGATGAAAATTTTATGTATTATAAAACAGATAACTAACGAAAAAATATATTTTGTTGGGTTTAACAAACATTAAAAAATAAATATACACAAGTTTACAATATAAAGAACACGTATACACGCAAAATAATTGAAAAGGACTACAACATGGATTGTAAAAAAAGTAATCTCAATCAGAACTTAAGCCATTTACATGAAGTCATCAATAAAATTAGATTGTAATATACAGCATAAAGAAAATAATATAAAATAATATGTGTTTTTAATCTATTTTTATATCTGTATACTGATAGATTTTGTTTCTTATTTTTAAAGATTACCATTCCCTACTTTATTCAAATGACTTCGGTAGATCCAATTACAGTGGTTGCACTTGCCTTCTATATATTAATAATATGTACAAATTTTGAACTTTTTGTACTGATTTAAGGGCAAAATATAACTATGAAAATGATGAAATTACATAATCATGAATGAAAATCTACACTACAATTTCACTACCTTGCACATAAGTTTGAGAAATAGAGGAAAACACCACTCAACTGAGATAGAAACTAGAATTGCAAATCTTTAAAAAATGAATCAACATTATAACTGTCCATTAATGTATTAAATGTACATCAGATATAGACAATCATATACGTAAACTTAGAAAAGAGGCAACTATGTATTAGATAGAAAACGTAGACAACACTGACTATTTTTACTCTCCCAACAGTTCTATGGACAAATGTGAGCAATTTTCTAAGATTCTTTACAGGGATTCTCAAACGAGGCAGTTATAATCTAAGTTCACCGACAATGTTAGTTAGATGATCAGTTATTGTGAAAGTATTGAAATAAAAACAATTGTCTAAGTTTATAAATATTTAGTTATATCAGAGAGAATATTAGTACCTTTCGGACATTTTTGACTCCAAGTTACTTTTCGTAAATTCAGCTTTCCATTAATTTAATGTAATCTTTCTTAAACTTTGGGAAAACCTTAAATCATTTTTTAGCAATCAATGAATTAATTTTGATCCAAAAATCGCCCATGAAAGAAATCATTATAACATACCAGATAGATCACATTTGCTGTTTCCCAATGATAACGGGATGCATTTCTCATTTTCTGCACAGTTTACAGTTGAACAAGATCCTGTTATCTTCTGCAGACAGAAAATGAAGGAGGAATCACAAAAGTTCTTATTCTTTTTTACCTTTCTAAGTAATAAAAACAATTAAAGTTTTGTTATAGCGTTTGCAGGAAATTGTCTTGCCCTTATTCATTCTATGATTCAATTATCTTTATTTCTTTTAGTTAATTAATAGCAATGCAAATATATAGACGCCTTTCTTTTTTTCTTTAACAGTGTATTTAAAATTCCATTTCACGAATATTGACTTCAGAAGTTACTGTACATGTGCAACGTCGTAAAAGAAAAGTTAACATTTTCGATGAACATTACATGTAACGTCTCCTGAATTAGGCAAAACGTGCACTTTATATTATTTCAATCAAACGGAAGCAATAATT